AGGCGGTATGCTATCTGAAAATATAAATAATTTAATTAATTAATTTTAACTATAATTTTAATTTTGATCCGCCATCACCGGAGACCGCTGGTCAGCCGCCGTTGACTCTTTTTTTTTTTTGAAATTTTTTTTTTTGAATTTTTTTTCAGTAGGTCAACCGCAGTTAACCGATGGGTCTCCGACGTTAACTTTTTTTTTTGTTAATTTTTGATATTTTACTTAATATTACTGTCTTGGCTGCTAAATTATTGTCTCCAGCAGTTATTTAACCGTCGGAGACAGTAATTTAACTGTTAATTGACTTTTTTTTTTTAATATTTTAATTAATATTGCTGTCTTGGCTGCTAAATTATTATCTCCTGCAGTTATTTAACTGTCGGAGACAGTAATTTAACTGTTAATTTATTTTCTTTTTCTTAAAAAAAATATTTTAATTAATATTACTGTCTTGGCTGCTAACTTACTGTCTCCAGCTGTTATTTAACTGTGGGAGACAATAATTTAACTGTTAATTGATTTTTTTTAATTTTTTTTGTAACTTTGTTTTTTCTTAAAAAAATTATTTTAATTAATATTACTTTATTTGCTGCTAAATTATTTCATCTATTGAAAAGGTTTCGTCATATAGTTGGTAATCACATCAGCCTAACACACTGAAGGTCTTCGATTCGAGCCCGGGCGAAGCCATTATACAGTAAATTTTAGTTATTTAATTGGGAAAATTACGGCCACCCCCTAAGCTATGGTGAAATTACGAAAACCTCCCTCCTGTTTGGGTAATTACAGCTACCCCCCTCAACTATGTATTTATCTTACGAAAAGACCCCTCAAGAGGTAAATTTAGGGATGTTAATTCAGTAAAACCGAACCAAAATTTCGGTACGCCAACATTTCATACCGTTTACCGAACTAAATATACGATTTGGTTCGGTAAATAACCGAATTACATAAATTTTACGTAAAAATATTTAAAAGGAGGGGGGTGACTGTAATTACCCAAACAAGAGAGGTTTTTTCGTAATTTGACCATACCTCAGGGGTGGCCGTAATTTGCCCTATTTAATTAGTACCTTTCTTCTTTATTTTTTGTGAAATTCTTTTCGATTTGTGTCATTATCTTTTTAGGCTTACAATAAAATGTAAATCAGGTAACCTTCACTTTGTCTACCGAAAAGGTTTCGTGGTGTAGTTGGTTATCACGTCAGTCTAACACACTGAAGGTCTCCGGTTCGAAACCGGGCGAAGCCATTTTTATAAGTATGCGTAATAATGCGTTTATGGGTTTTCTATCAAATCCTTTTTGGATTTCTTTGATCTCTTTTGGGCCTAATAGGAAAAAAAAAAAAAGATATATCAAATAAACAATACTCATATTCTATTTTAATGATATCCATATTATAGACAAAAAAGAAATAAAAAATAATATATATCAAATAACAATACTCATATTCTATTTTAATGATACCCATATTATAGACAAAAAAGAATTAAAAAATAAATTGACACTACTAGAAAAACGATCTATCATGACGGTCTAAAGCATCACCATAGATGGCTATTGTGACGCTTTACCTGTTGTGACGCCTCGATAAAGCGTCACATAGGTGGCCGTGGTAATATGTTATTGTGACGGCTTAAAAGCGTCCTAACAAAACTTATTTAATGACATCCTAGTTCGTCTCCAAATGATTGTTTTGTGACGCTTTCTGGTGTCACATTAACGAATTCCAACCAGTTTAATCCTCTCTTTATGAGACACTCTAAAGCGTCTCATAACATTTCTCCAATTTCTTATTACACTGGCTCAAAACTTAATCTAATGAACAAAAAATTAAAATTAAAATAACAGTATGAACATAAAAATAAAATAAAAATAACAGTACAAGTATCCATTTTATTTTCTCCACAAACAAAAATAACAACACAAGTAAAACAAATATTATAATTTCAAAAATACCAACATTCATCCATCATAACTCTATTTCAATACCTCAAAACAACTAAAGTCAAATGTCAATAGCATTCTAAAATTTACAAAGCAGCCCACAAATCAATACTATCTAAAGTGCAGTATCAAAACAACATCTTAGAATGCATGCACCAGAACTAGGAAGTTGCTTCGCATAGAAGTAAAAACTCTTTAGCCTCTTCGTCTATGATAACCTATTAACAAAATCAAATAGAGGAAGGAAAAATATTAAAATCAACTATTAGATCAAAAAATGGAATGGACAATGAAGCTTGCTAGAATTATAATAAAAATAGAAGAATAAACTAAAAATTTTAAATCATACCAATATGTCGACAACTCGCTGCAGCTTATGAAAAAATTCCACACTCCTTTAACTCATTAAACGCACCTGCTCGTCATGTATTTAGTAGGGGAATGCTCTAATTAAAAAAATAATTGACATAAGGAAGATAGATTAATCATTAAAAAAATATATAAAATGTGAAATTTAAAAGTACTGCTATATATCCTAACAGGTTTCATTTTTTTGCAGAAATAACAATCCACTACTTAAATTGTAATTATCAATTGATCACAGATCTAGTACATCTTCAAACACTTTCAACTTTTTTAAGGAATGAATAAAATTATTTCACCTACTTACCATACATTTTTATTTGTGGCATAACTTTTTTCTCTAGTTTAATTTAATTTGCCAAGTACCTTATTCTGTAATTCTGCATTCTCTTGCTGAACAAGGTTTCGTGGTGTAGTTGGTTATCACGTCAGTCTAACACACTGAAGGTCTCCGGTTCGAGCCCGGGCGAAGCCAATTTTCTATGTATGCGTCTAAATAATTTTGTACATGGGCCTAATATATAATTAAAATCCACCTGATATAAATAACTAGGTGTGACACGATGCTTTTTCGAATATTCTATCAGCTAACGAGTTTGAACATAGAAATTTGATTTTATTATAATAAAACTCAACTGGAGAATATGAAATACTAATCGGGCACAGTCAAATATATATTGAGGAAAAAGCCTGATTAATAATTCCAAACTGCAGAGAAGCTTATAGCCCAAGTCAACTCTAACGTGAGATCAATTCTAAGTTGGAACTATAATTAAGTTGTATTAGTCAATGGATATTTGTTTAGATGATTTACTCTTTTTTTTGTTGCACGATGTGCTCGGGAAATTATATGCTGCACTTGACTTTTTATACTGAGTGAATTACAATCGATGATTTACACATAAGCGCATACACCCGTAGTCATATAATCAGATTTACGATTGATGCATACACCCGTAGTCATATAATCAGATTTACGATTGATATCAACTCAATGTAAATAACCAGATGTAACATCTAACTCCCCAAAATATTTGAACATAATATCGAAAACCAAGTCAACCAAGCAAAAAAAATCATTTGACCACTAAGTGTGTGTGTGTATATATATATATATATATATATATATATATATATATATATATATATATATATATATATATATATAATCCGTAGATGAATAATCGTTATAACATCTTACCTTTCTCAAAGTCAATTATAATTTTTTTTTTGATAACTATAAATTATCTCTAGTTCCTACATAACACCACCCCATTAAACACACACACACACAAACACAAAAAGAATGGAGCAAGTAGTCTGGCCAATGTTATTGTTTTTCACGTGCATGATGATAATATCATATGCGCAAGGTATATATATGTTTCTATACATGTATGTATATATATAGATGTGTGTGACTCAATTCACATTCCTATCTTGATTAGCATGTATATAACTTTTTTTTTTTTTAAATTAAACAGATTTTCTGCAGAACCCGGATTTTCTGCAGAACCCGGATTTTGAAATCCCTCCATTCAACATAACGGCAAATTCAACTACATCCCAATTCATTCTCCTCACCGAAGCGAATTCCATTCCGGGGTGGTCATTCAACGGTACCGTCTCGTACGTCACTTCAGGGGCAAACTTGTCATTTCCAGGGAGCAGCGGGGGCCACGCTTTGCAGTTGGGCGAGAACGGCGCAATCAAACAGACATTCAGTAGAGCAAATACAACAAATACAGCTAATGCAAATGAAACCTATGAATATGTTGTCAGTTTCAATCTTATCCCACAAAGCGAGGATTGTGCTAACAATCGTACGACTGTTAATGTAACTCTTCGCGAGAATTTGTTCCGCAATAGATCGATGGCGTTTTCTCTCCGAAGGAATTTGACTAGAAATTTGTGGGAGAGCCATGCTTTCTTCTTGGCTAAATTGGGAGTCAACGATTCTGTCGATATTCAAATCTCAAGTGTTAAAGCTACAAATACAAAAGATGGTAACAATGTCACATGTTGGCCTGTGGTGGATGCATTTAATGTCAAAACGAATCCGTCGTGGAGGCGGTATATGGGTATGTTGTTATTATTTGAGATATTAATATTAAACGATATATTTCACTGACAAATTAAATTTTTGGTTGAGGTGGTCATTCAACAGTTATATGCTATATTTGACCGGATAAAATATATTTAAAAACAAAAAAAAAAAAAAATTGCAAAATTCTCTCCTCTTACGTACCCCGATATATAAATTACTGTTTATACGTCAACTTTTCGTATTCATAGTTAGTGCGTAACGATCGCAATTTGTGTTTTATGTCTAATATTGTGCAGACAACGCACTAGCAAATGGAAATTTTGAGGTTGGACCGGGTTTTATGAAGAACTCGTCAGAGGGAATTCTTCTAGACAAAGAACAAGATAGATTCGGGTCTGCACTCCAAGATTGGGATATATACGGAATTGTAAAATACATAGACTCAAACAACTACAAAGTCCCTCAAGGCAAAGCAGCTATCGAACTATTATCCGGGAAGTCGGGGGTCCACAAGAACTTGTACATAGAACCGAAGTACACATACACTTTGAACTTCACAATGGGAGATGCAAACAATTCATGTGTAGGAAATTTTACGGTGTACGTGCAAGTAGGGAATAACACACACAACTTCACGATGACAAGCAACGGAACTGGATCGGCTTTCGAGCGCTTCTTAACATTCAAATCTCAATTTCGATTGTTAACAACTATTCCTATAGGCTTGTACAGTTTCAACGAGACAAGAACGGGTACCGGAGTGCTGTGTGGGCCCGTTATCGACAACGTAATTATTCGTCGAGACTCTGATGAAAGGAACTCTGATGGAAGGAAGATAGGTTCTCATGGGATTTTGATTTTAGCATGTTTACTGATTTGGGCATGCTTATGATATATGCAGAATGAAATTTATACCCGCTGTAAAATAAATTTGGACAAATTCGACTTTACCTCTTCTACTCTAGGGTGGTGTTTGTAAACACTTTTCTATTCTCAGTGTCAACCCTATTTTAATTTTCTTAATTGATATATACTAGTGATTGTACCCGTGCGATGCACGGGACAATAAATTGCATTGTTTTGATGGTGAAAGAATATAAACAAACATTTGATGTATCGTATGATCAAAATTCTGTTATAATCATTCATTAATAATTCATCAGTGGAACATTACTAAGTATACTACACAAAAAAAAAAGCAAATAATTTTACTGTTGAATAACTTTCCAAATGATCTGAATCATTTAATACCAATAGATTGAAAAATTGAACCAGAAACAAAATCATTATGACTATGTCTTTCATATTGAGCTGAAAAGTAATTAGATTTAATAACTTAGTTAACATAATCAAGACTAAACTATCAACAGCATACCAACGTAATAGGCCATCTATATATCTTGCATCGGAACTAAACCATTCTCCACTGTCTCGTTTTGGTCATGTTTTGCCACTGGAATTAACAGTTGAAAAATTAAGAAACAAAAATAAATATAAACAATAAATTAAATAATGCATAAAAACAATAAGTCTTGAAGGCCGACTTCCAATAGCTTGTGGCTCCGCCCATTTTTGCTTAGTTATCTTAAATCATCCATTTCAATATCATCTAAAATGAAATAATTGTTATACATAAAATTTGAAATCTTTGGTACAAATTAACGAAACACATAATTTAACAAAATGAAATTACCTATAAGCCGTGATGGAAAATATGCAAACTAATTGTCACACAGTTAATAGGATGAAGAAGAAAATAAGACAAAAATTCCAAAGTCGGGTTACCAAAAGAAGAAGCCTTAGGTAGATGAAGAAATAAAATTCAAATGTTGCAGACATTCTGTAAAACGATGTCAAAAAAATCCGCTAGGGATGAAATTAGATTTATTCACCCATCTTGTCCCTCAGGATGCGAACGAGTTCAAGCAGCGTGCGCTGCCGTCTCGAAAAAAACTTTTGCCCTTCCTTCTTTTTT